AGACAAGGAAGAAGATAAACATCACTCTGTCTGTTTTATTTGTTTCTTTCAGGAAGAACACACGACCCTGATGGTGACTTTTCACAATCAACTATAGGTGAAGCATTTACTACAAATGCAGCACATCTTGCATTTTCTACAAATGCAGCACATCTTGCATTTACTGCACCAGGTCCTACTAAGTCAGATTCTGCAGGTGTGTAGATATGCATATATGTGAGACACAGAGTCCTGAGTGATGTATCTCCACTGAGATGTGATGTTGTCTCCTTTCTCCAGAGAAACTGATGTACACTGGAATAGGCCTCGGGGTGGTTTTGCTGGCTCTGGCCGTGGTGCTGCTGATATTCTTCAAACATCGAAACGGAGACATCAGCACATCCTCTGGTAAAAAACAAACAGTGCTTATATCATATGATGGAAGTTTTTATATTATGCCCAGAACTACCACAACAGCCAAACGATACACAATAGCAAAGACATGGGAAAACCAAGACCTGAACGCTATTACAAGCACCTCATGACACTGTGTCAGAGAGCCATAGCAACCATGTAGAAGCACTGGTGTGTGTGTAATGCTGATGTGTTCACACCAAAGGCTAAGGGAAGTTTTCATGTGATGAGACAAAGTCAATGCAAAGTGGCCATGCACACAAAGACAAGAATTTTTCATTTGACCTTGAGCAAAAAAATGTATATGAAACCATGTCGTGAAAGCCAATCAGCGTTGAGAACGAAACTCACCAGACTCAGGTCCTGGCACAGACCCAAGCTAGTAGGTCATAGGTAAACATATTTTAGACTACATCCAACCATTTATTGTATTTTCTGCTCATTAAGAAGAAATACAAGGCTCATACAGTGTTTTCATTTTTAGATCAATGGTTTGTGGTTAGAATTCCAGTTTGGCTTAGGTCTTAGTTTGCATGTTGTCCTTGTGTCTGCATCGGTACAACCCTCTTGAAAATGCTATTATTTCTGGGCAAAATATATAAAATTGACAGAATATTGGTTCAGGACATAATGCATGAAAAAGATAACATTGAACAGATGGCAATGTATTCTACTGTATTTTGGTTATTTGCTGCTTTTAATGTAAAATTATGCCAGTATAAATATTGATTATTTTTCAGTAAGTCAAAGTGAAAAATACAGATTTTACTTTGCAGGCATTTAAAACTTTGTCGATGTAACATCACTCTCCACACAGGAAAGTACCAGAAGACTGACTATGCATCGCCGTCCAGTCTGACCGGAAACAACCACGATATCATCACTTCTTCTTCGTCAGCTAAAGACGATGAGGCCACAGATGGCCCCAAGACCAGCAGATACCTATCAGACGAACTGTTTTACTCCTGTGTCAACTTCAACACGCAGGCAGACCGCAGCAGTGTCACACCTAGCCCTGCAGAGACCACATACTCCATCATCACACACATGGCAACAGATGAATCAGCCGTGTATTGTAATGTCTGAACTCAGTGCTGAACATGCTCACAGCAACAATATCTGCTGTACAGTGAATACCCACTGCTTGCACATTTCTTAGACTGAATTCACTGGTTGTTGTCTGAAGTCAGAGTTCATTTGTTATTTCTTCTGACATATAAATTATGATCAATGGAGACAGAAATAACTCTTCTAGTAAAAAAAACTATTTAGAAATGCTTTTTAACCGCAATAAAATAAAAGATAAACGGGATCTTCTTTTCTGTGCGATTTTGTATTTTCCAAAGAAGAAGTGAAACACCCAGAATAAACACACACACGCACGCATGCACGCACGCACACACACACACATGCAATATTAACAAGAGCCCGCCTCCAGAGCCACTGCATGGTTTGTTTCAGGCAAAGAGTGACATTTCATGGGGTTTATCTTTATATATTTAATTTAAATTGTGCTTATTTTTTATGCAATGTTATTGTGATGGACATGTTATTAGGAGGAACCCAAAAGTCCAAGT